GCTGTCCGCTACAAGGTCCGTTGATTAAAATATTTAAACTTTAAACTAATAAGTTACATACCCGTATGAAAAATTAATTGCAAAATATATTATAAACATGTGATAATATATTCGGTAAAAAGAAGTATAGTTTTCATTATATGGTTCACTCTTAGATTATGTAAAGTATAATCTAAGGGTCCACTGTATAAGTAAAAGTATATTACGACTATACGAATATATTTTAAGCTATATTGAAGTACGTATTTTATTAATAGATTAATATATGTTAATTATATATAGTATTGTATATATGGAACATATATATTATTATAATACTTTAATGAGTATATAATAAATTTATATTATACAATATATTATATTACGCAATATATTTTGCTTGCTTGCATGCTTATCTTCACGCACAATCCCTGACGGGGTAGCCAGAGAGAACAGATCGCCAAGTGTCACGATCCTTACATACCTCTTTCGCTTCTTTCAGATTCATTATCTTCTTCATACATGCACGTCTAGGTATCCGAGTACTCTTGACCCTCCCCTCTTCGAGCGATTTGCTCACATGGTCTTCGAAAGTTAGCCTCGGTCTACCTCGACACCTTTTAATATTAACTTTCGCGCTATATATTTTCTTCACTATTCGGTCTTCACTCATTCGCTCAACGTGCCCAAACCGGTCGGTCGGCCATGGTAACGCCGCACATTTTACGAAGAGATCGCATCTCCACTGCATTGAACTTGCTTTTATGCTTCTTCTGGCATACCCAGGTTTCGCTGCCATATAACAAAGTCGGTACCAACACTGCGTTATGTATTACAAGGCGTGCATTCTTCACTACGCCTTGCCTTTTGACTAACGCAGTCAGGGCACCATTGACTTTGTTCCCGGCAGCGACACGCCTGTCCACATATTAATCACATCTTCCATCCCGGCTGAAAGCACTCCCCATGTATACAATTTCATTTACCTGTACTAGACATTCCTGATTTACCCATATTTCACACTTCGTTCTCTCTTCGTCCCTTTCAAATACCAGAACCTTAGTTTTATTAGCATTCAAACGGAGACCTTTAATTTCACAATCCTCTTTCATACACGTGACTAATGCCTGCAGTTCTACCTCTGATGGTGCAATAAGCACTGCATCATCAGCATACAGCAGACAATTTACTTTAATGTCACCCAATTTCAAACCCAAACAGCTATCTTTCAGCTTCTGTAAACAGCTGTCGAGATACAGTATGAAAAGCCAGGAAGACATGACACAACCCTGTTTTACACCCGTTTGGACGCTAAACATGAGTGACAGGTCATGCCCTACCCGCACACAGGCTTTACCGTCACAGTAAAGTGACTGCACAGCCCTTAGCAATCTACCATCCACACCATACCCCGGCTACAGTTCCCACATTTTCTTCCTTACAACCTTATCAAATGCTTTCTCAAGATCCACAAAAGCACAGAAAATCTTCTGGTTAGCAGCCAGAAGCTTCTCCGTGATCATGCGGAGAGAAAACTTTTGATCCGTGCATCCTCTTCCAGGTCTAAATCCGCATTGTGCCTCCCATAGAAATCTTTCCGATTTCTCTTGCATCCTACGTGTCAAAACCTTCGAGTAAACTTTACTTGCTAAACTGGTCAAGCTGATCGCCCGATATCACCCGCAGTCAAAATGTGAACCTTTACCTTTATATAAAGGCACAATGACTGCGGATCACCAATCATCCAGGACATCCCCCGTCCGCCAGCACAAATTGCACAGCAGATGAGAGCTGTCCCAGACGCGAGGCCCACCATACTTGACCATTTCAGCAGTAACTCTGTCTAGTCCCGCAGCCTTACCACATTTCAAACTTCGAATCGCACGTTCAATCTCTTTCATACTGATGACCTCAGTGTCATCGAGGTCCGGGTCTGGCGTACCAGTCACGGCGTCACCCCCGGATCCCTCACTAAGATCATCACACGCTTACATTTCTCTATAAAATTCGCTCCATCGCTGCATGACGTCCGATTTTCTTGAGAGGACGTCATTGGTTCTCGAAAGCACTTTGTTCATTCTTAAGGCCGTTCTTAAGGAACCGAAGTGGTGCGCACTTCGGGTCCTTCCAACCTCTTTCCAGAAGAGTTTGGAGTTCTCTTTAAAGTTGTGCGACAACCTTTCGTCCGCTTCCATTCTACACCTTTCACGCACTTCCTCAATCAATGTTTTCGTATAAACTTTCTGCAGCTTATATCTTTCTTTCATCTTCTCTCTCATATCCTTATCATTACTAGAGGCCAAGTAGTCTAACCATGCTTTCTTCTTCTTCTTTACAGCGTCTTTCACTTCATCATTCCACCATGCATCTCTTCTTTTACTACTACCTCTTTTTATCATTCCACACACTTCTTCCGCTGCACTTACCATTCCATCCCTAAGGTTCTGCCATGTTCTATCCACACATTCTTTTCTGCCATCGATGGTGTCAAGCTTTTCGGCTACCCTCGCATGATATATGTCCCTAGTATCCGCTTCCTGAAGCTTCCAGCTTCGGATGCGACAGACCGACTGTGGTTCTGTCACTGCCGTCCGGTAGCGCCAACCCGCGAACAGACCCCTAAATCTAGTAATCACTAGATAGTGATCCGTTCTCCGGTCAGCACGCCTGAACACTCGCGTATCCATCACCTGTTTTCGCAGTCGGTCATCCACCAGGAACAAATCGATCGTACTTCTCTCATTCTTTCTTTCTCTAGTATACATATGGATTTTCTTGTGATTAAACATAGTGTTTGTCACAAGAAGACCCTTTTCCTTGCATACAGCCAGTATAAGCTTGCCAGCATCATTAACCCTTTTATCGCCAAACTTTCCAAGCACTGACTCGTACCCTTGTCGAGCGGTACCAACCCATCCATTCAAATCACCACATACAACAATTCTTTCGTTTCTCCTAACTAAATCTAGAACTTCTCTTACATTCTCCCAAAACTCCTCGAGCTCAGCCCTGGCCCAAGCAGCATGCAAGCTGTATACGAGCTGTATTGGAGTTCCTTTTTATACTAGAGGCTGGATTTACTGGCTGTACAAAGGCTGTATAAGCGCTTATACAGCTCTTATAAGTAAAAAATTGGCACAAATTATACAGCTTTATGCGTTAGTAGCGCTGTACAAGCATAAAAGGGGCTGTATAATAGCTGTATTATAGCTGTTATTTGGTGTACAAGGAAACTATTACACTACAAATACTATCTTATAAGTATCTTCTAAAGGTAAACATTCTAAATTGGTGTTTGAACGGTATCACAAATGAATTTATGACGAACATAACTTAGTAGATTTATTTATATACTTTGTTGAATAATGGCGACATTTAGTGAATGAAAGATTATATTACATATTAATATTACTTGGATTGGAGTTGAGTTTTGACGGTGATAACTGGTGAATAGAAAGTGCAAAATTAGATTTACGGTAAACATGTATATGATTTCCAACAAAAAATTGCCGCGCCAGCAAAATAACGAAATAATATAAGGACAAAATACTAAATATCGTAAGTAAATATTGATTTTATAGGTTAGAATAAGAAAATAATTAAATTAGTGAATATGAATGCATATTAGTAGTCAAACTATAAATAATGGTTTAGGCTAAAACTAATGTCTCATATTCCTAAATTTTCAATTTAAATTTTGTTTTTATAGGTCCTAAAATGGCGATAATTTGCTAAACAGCCTAAAGAATATTTCGAGGGTCTTTTAGTCTTAGTAGCTGTACTATGTATGTTATGGATTCTTTCATACAGCCATTAGTTTTTAATCAGCTGTATAATAAAATATTTTATTACTAACGCTGTATAGTAGTTTTTAAAATATCACAGATAATTGTCTTTAGAGATATGTATAAAAGATGAAAAACCTTTGTCTTAGAAACAACACTTTTATCCCTTCTTCGCTTTATCTCGTTTAAATAATAATATTTTAAGATGTAACCGTGTTTTAATAATTTTGTTGTTTTATTTTATGGACAAGGACAAAAAAGTGCTTACTTCTTTCACTTCTTTTAAGACAGAAACTATATAAAGCCACACAGACAAAGTTAATAAATTGAAAAAATATTTTTTCATTTTTGTACCAACCTAAAACCATCGATTTAATCGAAATGATTGTATTTATTGGCAATAAATTACTACCCCTTTGATTGTATTGATTGATTCATCAACATCTCTTTCTTTGCCAAACAATATTTAAGGGCCCCCGAGACGGTCAAACGGTTTGATTCAAACACGTAGATTTTGGTTTGAGTCAAACCAATTTGATCGTATACGCCGTTGGTTTGACAGGTTTGATCAAACGTTACGTGTTTGAAGCTCGTTTGATGGAAATTTATATTTTGGTTTTGTTTGAAGCGCCGTTTGATCGTGTTCGCGACGTGTTTGATCAAACTTCATCAGTCTTGTGCTTAATTTTGAAGCGTTCTGTGTGGTTTCCAAAATGTTAGACGAAGATGAAATTGACATTGAAAACGCCTCAACGTCGTCACGACACGATTTGTCATTGGAAGTGACTATATCCAACCGTGAATTCACTTCAATGTTAATATCGTTATATCAAGATGCACCTGAATTGTGGAAGGTGAAATCAAAATATTATTACGATAAAAATAAAAAGGCATTAGCGTTGACTAAAATTACAAAAGCGTTACAAGTAGTAGATAGAAATTTCACCGAGGAGGATTTAAGAAAAGAAATAAACAAGCTTAGAACAAGTTTTAATCGTGAGTTAAAAAAAAGAAGGATTCCATGAAATCAGGATCTGGTGCAGACGAAGCCTACGTACCGAAACTTTGGTACTTCAATGACATGACTTTCCTGCTGGATTCGATGGAAATAGCGGAAACGGAAGACTCTTTAGATTTCCAGGTCAGATACATTTTCCGTGTTAAGGTAAAAGGGTAGGTATTCAGTTGTAGTTTTACTCAAGACAGTTGTTTTGCCATGGGACTGCCCCACTAGTATTAAAGTATTGACAAGTCATCTCGTATTATTTTTGCCTCGTTTGCCAAATTACCTCTGAGGGCTTGTAAAGAGATCAACTGCCTTTCTTCTGCTCCCCATGAACCTGGTACTATATTGCCATTATTAACATCCTCATAGTCTACATCAGCTCGGGGTAAATACATATCTTTTCTCTTTGACAAATAGTTATGAAGATAACAGCAAGCGAGCACTATTTTGCGAACTTTATTTCGAGCCAATAGGATTGCTTTATTTAACATTTTCAATCGAGATGACAGTATCCCAAAACTATTTTCTACAATTCTTCGCGCACGGGACAATCTGTAATTAAAAATCTTCTTATTATCTGTAAAATCTGTTCTTCTGTACGGTTTCATGACATTTGGTGTCAATTGAAACGCTTCATCGCCTACGAAAACGAAGGGTAATTCTTTGGAAAATGCTGGTAATGTAATGGGTTCGGGTATATTGAGTTGATTATTGGCAAGTAGATTCCAAAAGGTTGTATTCTTAATAACTCCACCGTCTGATATTCGACCGTTTGCTCCAACATCGACCATGATAAATTCACAGTTTGCATTTACAATTGCCATCAAGACAATGCTGTAGGTCCCTTTATAATTATGATAATAACACGCTGACTTTTCTGGATTTTGAATTTCAATATGTTAGCCGTCGACACTGCCAATGCAATGTGGGAAGTTCCGTCGCTGTTAATATTCTTGTGCTACTTTCAACCATTCTTCACGTGTTCTCGGCAACTGAAAATAATATTATGAGTATGTATTTATTAATAATGAGAAATTCATAAATATTTCTTTTAGGATTCTTCCGAAGACGCTAGTCACCCACGTTCAACTGGAGGTACTAAGAAGAAAAACACGAAAAAAAAAACCAACGTTCAAGAGTATCTTTTAAACATAGCCACTTCATATTTTGGTAACAAACAAGAAGACGAATATGACATAATGGCTAAAGCATGGGCTATGCAAATTAGACAACTAGCCCCTGACCAAAAACTTTATGCACGGAAAATCATAAATGACGTTTTATTTGAGGGTTCCATGGGCACACTGACCTGGAACGGTGTGTTTTATGGTCGATACTTCATCTATAAACCCCATTAGTACACCAAACACCATATTCACATCTAGTTCTACATTGACTTCTCCAGAACCCTTAGCATCTCCTGTGCTTACAAGTGTTCCGAGACCATCTCCAACACCAAACCAGTCTCCAACAAATAGCCAATTGAACGATCCGAGTAGCATCTATTCCCCTTTTCCAGCCACATTGAATGAACACACATCTCAATACTCGCCACCAAATTATGAGAACAATCCTTCTCCAGAACGTTTCGCATTTCCTACATCTATACCAGTCACAAGCACATCCACATCCAATACATATTCTGATCGTGTTATGTCTTCCACTTTTCGCCTTTCAACAAAATCCCCAAGCTATAAAAAATCCACAACCAGTCCTCGATCAGCAGTATGGCGTAAATCTCTCGTAAAACAGTTTAATTTACAACCAAATGCTTTAAACAACGGGCCTCAAAATTCTATTCAAACCACTAATAATTCAAATCTGATTCAGCCAGAGGACCTTATGCCAGAAAATGATATAGAAGGTTACACAGCAGCTGAATATTTAACGAAGTTTACTAATATTTAAGAAACGACAAATTTTTATAACATTTAATTTGTTAAGTATTAAAGATAAAGTTTTCCAACCTTTATACAATCTTTTAATACTTGTATGATAGCTTCACATGTTTCCATAATTATTATTTCTAATGTTCGAGGGTGGACAGCACATGTAAATTTTAAATCTTCCAGGTCCATCCGACTTGCTAAATATTTACTGGAATAGCTTGCCTCATGTTAGTATTCTGTTTTTGAATTAACTTTATTCAACAAATTTTCATAAGAATCATTGTCCATTCTCGGAAAGTTCTTATAATCATCTGGTGCGCTAGTTTCTAGCACTCTTTGCAGATGTTAAATTGTACCATTCTTTGCACCAAATTCTTTTTTTCTTATAATTTAAGCAAGACATTAATACAATAAACGCGAGAAAATCTTTATCCATAGTCGACGGCATTTTTTGAAACCGCAATAGGACTTTCTTGTTTGAACTTTGAAGCCACACTGTGCGCTTTTGTTTGATGCGAATTCAAAGCGACATCAAACTGTTTGATCAAACACGTGAGGTTTGAATGAAACCGTTTGACCGTCTCGGGGGCCTTAAGGTACATTTTATGACAGAATATTTTATCTTGGTCAGCAGTACGGTACCAGTACGAGCATGCTGTTTATTTTGTTGTGTTTAGTTGATAGGTAACTCCTCGCAAGCGTATACGCATGTCGTTTTTTAGTCATACTCTTACGTCACGTAGGTACGGTAAAACCAAAAGAGTTAGCTATTTTATTTGATACATAAGTTAACTTATTGTGAAGTAATTTGACTGTGTTGTGTTATCTTATACTAGTTTTATTTTACTTTTTAGGAAAATATGCCGTTTAAAATTTTGGAAACCATAGAGAAAGAAATTGCATTTTCATTGTACCAAGTTTGTGAGAATCAAAAGGCGTTTTAAGATGGCCAAAAAGCGATTAGATGCTAATATATCTAGCTAATAAAATCTACAATTTGCAATTGTAGCTAAATCATTTAAAGCTACTTAAGAAGAAGAAGATATTTCTTCCTTTGGCCCAATTCTTTATTTGCTGGCAAAATAAATGAATTTTTTGAAAATTCGCTGTTATCATCATTTGAACTACTTGTGCTGCTGCATGATAAATCATCATAATCAGGTGCCGAAAACCAAGTTACATTTGACATAACTGTGATCATGATTAACACTGTTTAATGTTTTTGTTACGGAACCCTCTTTGTTAACCGTCGATGGGATTGACGCTTGACTGTAGCTTGTCTGATTTATTAAAGTATTTCTATATTCTTCAGTATCACTATTATTTCGTTTATAATTTTTAATATTTAAATATTCCCTTTTAATCCTTCTTCTAACTGCACCAAATCTTTTTCTTTTCATACACATATTGATAACAAATTAATTTGTTCACTATAGCACAATATATTAAACACGCAATTACGCATTCAAAATGGCGATATTCTATCACTTATACAGACTTAATCTGTACTATAGCTGTTATTTATTTTTTTAGTTTTATATCACTCTTATAGAAAGAAGTTATAAAACTACTGTATTTCCTAGAGTATAAAATTACGCCATAAGAATAAGTTTTAGAAGGGAATTCACATACACCACTTTAATGAAATAATATTTGAATGATACTATTATAACACTTAAAGCTGTAATAAGCAAGTGACAGCATGCAAAAAACAGCTTCTTTACAGCTTCAATGATAAAATCAGATGTGTTACAAAATACTTAAAGTTGTATAGTAGAGTTTTCATATTCTGATTAAGAACCCTAAGTCTACTTAGATCCCATAATACAGACTTTATACAGCTTGAGCTGTATAATAACTTATAAACCACTCTTATAAGAATACAATCTGTTTTCGACACTCTTATACGCTTCTAAAAGAACTCTAAGTTCTATATAGGCTGGTATATTGATGTTCATAACGCTTGTGTGCTGCTTGGGGGACGACGAAGCTACCGGCGCATAAACAGCCAAAAGGAATAACTTCGTCAGTCCCAATTTAAAGCGAATCCAGAGAAGTCTCGAGTTCACAGCCTTATATTCAGTCATAAAATCGACCAACCGAGACGACAGCAGCAACCCCACTCCTTGGCAGGCGCTCTCGCTCTCCGGGCTAACGTCCCGCCAGGGAGCTCTTCAGTACCACTGCCCTTCCGTTTGGTCTCCGACATACACACGACATCTAATTCTCTTTCTTTCATTATTTCGATCAGCTCATTCGTCTTATCTCTCATGCCTCCTCTAACATTCCACGTGCCAACTCTGCACTCCGTCCTCCACCTTCCGCCGTGTCGGGCTGTGCGTGACGGGTGGCGGTCCCCATCGCCGCTTTGCGCGCTGCATTGCACACCAACGGGGACGAGCTGGTGTGCGTCGCCTTGGGGGGACGCCCTAACCCTCGTTGGCATGGGTGCGCAGCTGTGTAGAATTACAGCCCTGAAAAGGGCTGGCAGGGGTCGCGACGAGCACGCTTCTACAATGACCCTCATATATTTTTATGATATATTTTAAATATATTTTTATGATACATCGAAAAATATATCGTTATTATGATACTATGTATAATTAAATATATTTTAGCAGGTACAATTAAGTTACTAATCATTTTAGATCTTTGAAAGCTTACATTATATCTTAGGAAATAGTCATTAATAGAGATTTAATCATAGAAAAAAAAAATTTCACGTAAACTAATACAAATTTAATTAAATTATACGGAATCCACACTTTTGAAAATATATTTTTATAATATATTTCAGGATTATATTTTATAACATATATTTTTATACAATTTATAGAATTTGTATTGCCATTTAGGTATGATACATATTATACAGATAGTAAATTTAAATAATATTAAAATACATAATTTTAAATAAATGATAAAATATAAAATAAAATATATAATAGCTAAAATATATAATAGCTAAAATATATAAATATGTATATATATGAAATCCGTAAAAAATTATATATTGTTTCATAAAAATTCCGGTCGGCCCCAGGCGGCTAAATCCCACACTAGGCCACTGGCTACAGCACATAGAGTCATCACGACTAGCAGGAATTTCTATGCACGCACAGAATACCAACGTTAAATATCAACATAATACTGCTGTTTCGTACCATAAGTAACAAAAGTGGAAACCACATTTGCTGGTAACAAGGTATTCCAAAATGTGTTAGTCATTGTTATATGTGACCATTGACTGCAGTAACGCTAAATGATACGACTAAGGGACCTTCAAGAACAGAGCTCACACCTTTCTAAAAGGCTGGCGATGCACCTGCAATTCCCCTGGTGTTGCGGTTGTTCATGGGCGGCGGTAGCACTTACCATCAGGTGAGTCGCATGCCCGTTTTTCCCCCTCTTCTATAAAAAACGCAGTGTCAGGTGGACCCTTGCTTTCCATATGTGTCATGTCTTTTTAATAAGGGTTTTATTTTATTTTTAGTTATCGAAAAAAAAACATAAAATTACATATCTTTTAATGCTTTAACAACACATATATTATAAAATAAATGATTTTGCAGCCTTGACCAAGTCTGTGCTGCAGACTCTTCAACTGTTTCCAAGGCATTCCTCAGATCCTCATTCTGAGATATAGTCTTAGTATGAGTCTTCAAAAACAAGCTTAAATATGATTGCGCCAATTCGAAATCTCTATTTGATTTGAGCATAGTTTCCAACATAACGAGAAAATGTCTCATAACTTCAATCGAACCACCGGCGTCAACAGCCATACTAGTTATTTCTGCCTCAATTATTGCCGGTGACAGTGATTTAAGTTTTTCTACACATAGCCAGTAATCTTTATCGTTATTACAAGAAACTAATTTCTTAGCAAATGCCGTCAATGTTGATAGTGACTCAGGAATTAAAAGTTTCCTATTTTT